TTACTAGACAAGTGCAGGAAAATAAACTGAATTGAACAAACTAGATTTTATTTGAACTGGACGGTGAATTTTAATGACATTAACATTCTCGCAAATACACCAGATTTAGCAAAATGCAAACCACAGTCCTAAAAAACAAACAACACAACACAAATAACACATTAACGCAAAATGTTATTTTTAAAAATACAAGAGCGCACAAAGAACTACTACAAAAAAAACTATAACGACAATTAAACTTGGTTCTAAGATACCTATATCAAAGCTCTATGCTAGTAGGTTTACGAAAACATCTGTCATAACATACTAAATAAAACAGCAAGTTCTCAAAAGTTGCAAAAGGTGATTGAACTATTTTTAACCTGGGTTAGACTTTTATCTCGCATAGATCAGTCTAAAAAATATGCCACAGTTTTAAACCTACAAGGAGAACATAAAGCAGGGAAGGTTTGTGGTAGCTCTGGAGAAGCTCAAGTGGAACAATCTGACTATTAGTTATTAGCATGAGCAGTACAGATCCAGCCTATGTGTAATGGTGGTGATTTGACGGCTTAGCAGAAGCCATTTGTAGTTTACCCTAAGCTCACATAGGAAACAGGTGGAAGAAGGTCATATGGTCAAATGAAACCAAAATGATCGTTGCTTTACTGAAATGTAAGTGTGCATATGTAGATACTATTTATCACCCTGCTCACAATTTATCCACGGTGAAACACGGTGGTAGCAGCGTCATGCTGCAGGGATGCTTTTTTTTTTAGTAGAAACAGTAAAGCTGCTCAGAGTTAAGAGGAGGATGGAATTAGCTAAATAAAAAGAAAAATCCTAGAAGAATATATTTTTGATGCAGCAAATACTTGAGGTTTGATAAGTTATTTACCTTCAGAGGATCACAGCTTCAAACACGAAGCCAGCGCTAAGAAAGGATTACATCAGAGTCTACTCAAGCCAAGGATTTTGCAGTATATTATACTACAATTTTCAGTTATGCACTTCTTAATGTTAGTCTGTCACATAAAATTTTAATACAATACATTTAATTACTTCAGTGAATTTTAGCGTTGCATTGAATTCAACATATTCAAACAGTGTCAGATGTATAAAGATATATATATATATATATATATATATATATATATATATATATATATATATATATATATATATATATATATATATATATATATATATATATATATATA